AAAAAATTAATTCAATATTTTTATTATTTAATGATATTGTTGCGCGAATTACGGCTGCCTGCAGACCTGATCACCGGGATACCACCTGATGCGCCACGCAGTATAACCGATTATGCAAATGACTTGCGGAACAAAATGAATGACATTTACGAGCACGTCAGACAATTTGGTAACAATATGTTCTTAAAACATTGAAAATAAAACTCAGTATAAAATTAAAAATGAAACTTGTGAATAATTTTGTATTATTATGAGGTGAAAATTAAAATTAAAACATATACATACATAAACACTCACACCTGTCACCCGGAGGGGTAGGCAGAGACTACAGACTTTCATTTGGTACGATCCTGACACACCTCTCTCACCTCCTCCACATTCATATACCTACGCATACATGCTCATCGGTTAAGGGTAATCCTAATTTGGCCCATTTTCACTATATCGTGGATTTGATCGATAAACTTTCACCTAGGACATTCCTTTCTGACTCTTCCATTCACTTCTGCAACATAAATTTGCTTTGGCACTCTTTCCTCATTCATTCTTTCTACATGACCAAACCACAGAAGCATTCCTTTCTTAATCCTGGTCACAGCATCATCTTTGCAAGTCAGTACTTGAAATTAAAATAAGCATTTAAAATAAAAATATAAATTTACATTATGAATAAATTGACATCGCATCATCATTCGCCACAGATTGCAAATTATTAATTAAGCATTATCAAATAATTTAACATTTTGATATTTTTCCTAGTGTTATATTTTATTTCAGTTCCTTTCATAGAAAGAAATATTGTAAAAATAATATCAAGAGATCAGAACAATTATTGTAGAAGATTTCAATTGTTTATTTTATTTTTTTTATAGGAGAGGGGGAGGCAAACGAGCATACTGCTCACCTGATGGTACATCTCCTAGATAAAAACATTATCAAAATCAAGTACCGGATGTCTATAGCCAACCCCTGGTTTCTGGAAAGACAGCAAGCATTGTGTGCGACCTCACCCAAGCGGCTCTCCGTATTGCAGAGAGATGGTGCAGGGAATATGACCTAACTGTTAATCCAAACAAAATGGTTCTAGTAAGGTTCACACAAAAACGAATACTGAATAACTATCATCTCCCAAGTCTTTTCAACACAAAACTCCAACTATCCTCCGAGGTAAAAAACTTAGGTCTTACCTTGGACAGTAAACTTAACTGGAATAAACGCATAGAAAACAAAATCAACAAAGCTAGTTTAACTTTCTGGCAATGCAGAAACATGATAGGCAAATGATGGGGTTTGACGCCAAAAATTATACTGTAACTGTTGTAATTAGGCTGTACAGAACTATAATTCGGCCCATGATCACATACGGCTCTCTTTTATGGTGAACCAAAACTAACGAAGCCACCACTATATGAAAGCTTCAGCGTTACCAGAGATTGGCTTATATAGCTGCCACAGGCTGCATAATAACTACACCAACAGCAGCTTTAGAGTTTATACTGGAGCTAACACCTCTTCATCTACATACACAACAAGAAGCAACTTTAGCTGCCATTAGACTCAACACCCTAAATCTTTTAAGTAAGAGTAGAGTCCCTCATACAGGTATAATTGATAGAATATACTCAACAATTCCTATCTTACAAGCCAAGTATGATTGATTCCCAAAACAATTTGTATTTGATAAGATGTATAAGATACAATTGAAGGAAACTGACCAACTGGAAGGATTGGGACCAAAAGAGCTCAGAGTTTGCACAGATGGTTCTAAGACAAATGAAGGTGTGGGGTCTGAGGCTTTCACTGAAGTCCTTAATATCCACATATGCACACCACTGGGTACCCATAACACAGTCTTCCAAGCTGAATGCATGGGTATCATCCAAGCGGCCATAGCAATAGATGCTAGGAAAGTGAATGACTTCTCCATCAACATACTGACCGACAGTATGGCGATACTATAAGATCTGAGTTGTAATGTGGCAAACTCAGGACTGATACATGAGCGCCATCAATGATTGAATGAGGTATCTAAGCACAACAATGTGACTGTAATGGATCAAGGGCTAAACATCTCAGCATGTCGGAATAGATCTCCGAAGTTGCTTGCAACATCAAAGGACTGTTCAAATTCTTTGGAGATATCATGGCTCGAATAATCACATTATTCCAGCCCACACGCAAAAACCGCGCTTAGACGTGGAGTTGCGGAAAACGGCCCGTCGTAAGCTAAACTAGTCATGAAATTAATTACCAAGGATACATATTATTTTTATTTTCCCTTACAGAAAATACTCATAAAAATACGATAGGCAAATATTAGTTTTATAGTTTCCCATTACTAGTTTACTATTGCATTGTACTCAGTAAATAGTAGTCTTATTCACTGTTTCAATTTTTTTTCATCATACTGCCTATTAGGAATTTTGTGTCTAATTTGTAAACGTGTTTATTATTTAGAATTTTTTGTATAGCTTTACAGTAATAATAAATAGTTACTCACTTGGATTAATAAGATTAGCGCTCTTGTACTCAACGCGGGGGTCTTCGAAAGCCTTTGTATGTGCGGGATTCAGAAAGGCCAGCTGTGGCGGAGTTTTATCCACTACGCGCAATTCGCTCACCAAGTCGTTGGTTATTAAATAATCCACCAGGTTCCGACCGATGAAGCCGCACCCTGAAGTAAATTACGCTATCAGACTAAGAAAAAACACTTAGGTTAACTGATGACTAACACTTTCAAAAGACCGTTAATACTGGATTTAAAAACTATTAGTCAAAAAAGTAAGAAGGACTCTCAGTAATTTTACTTTTTTCGGCTAACGTATTTAAGAGGATTGAACCGTAAAAAAGTGGTTAATTTACCTCCTAAAACCACAACTCGAGATTTTATTTTACCGGCACAATCAGACATTTCGATAGCAGTTTCACCGTTTCGCGAAAGTGAATGACAGATTGACATTTGACAGAGGAGATTGACAGATAAGTTTGACATTAACTGATACTGGGTGCGTTTGGCAGAAAAAAGTGCTATCAAGCGCTTGTAAGCAAAATGGCGATCGTAAGTGGTAAGCGCTGTCAAATCGTAAGTAGCTATTTTATTCTAGGACACGAAGTTAGTTTTAACCGGGGAACCTAACCTAATTTAAATATATGTTTGTAAAGTATTCATGTTAAAAACTTACCAATCATGAATTTTTAATAACATGTATATGTCTATTCATGTCTAATATAATACTTAAAACTAATATTGCACAAAAAAACTTATAAACTCTACTTCAAAACAAACAAATTAAATAAGAAAAATGGCGGATTGTGTCAGCGCTACTGAAGTAGCAATCGTGTCCTGGCCGAAAACTATTTCAGCGCTTGTAAGCGCTTGCTAGCGCTTTTTTCTGACAAACGCACCCATTGAAATGACAATTGACATAGACAAATAATATTTTTTAATATTTATTACATGACCATAGATACACCAGTTCTTCACTCAAAATAGCCATGTAGGTTAGAAAACAGAAGAACGATCGCTACGTGCTAAAGGATAGCTCGCCTGTCCCTGAAAATTTGTAGAATTTATAGCGTTGCCGTCGGTAAGTAGTATCTGCGAAGTAATTTTTTAATTATTGACAATAACAAACATTAAAAAATGGTGAAGTATTATAAAAAAATTCACCATCTATTCCGACGATATTCCGAATAAATCAATAATTATTATTAATTTATATTTGTAATAATTTATAATGTTTATAATAATTAAAATTGCAAAAAAAAAATAAAAACCAAGCCGCCATATACCGAAGAACCGATAACCGATGGGGAAGAAAGGTTCTCGAGTGGCAGCCTCGTACCGGTTGGCGTAGTGTAGGGCGACCCCCCACTAGATGGAGTGACGACCTGGTAAGACATGCAGGAAGTCGATGGATGCAGGTGGCTCAGGACCGTGCTTTGTGGCATTACTTGGGGGAGACCTATGTTCAGCAGGGGACTTGTGAAGGGCTGTACTGATGATGATGATGATGATGATGAAAAGACCAACAACTATCGGAGATACTCCTAAAGGATGGCACCGTCAACGTCTGTCGAGCTTGTTGCCATCCCGGTGAGTCACTTAGGAACGTCATCTCTGGTTGTTCGGCGCTTTCTAACTCTGAGTACTTGCACAGGTACAACCTAGTAGCCAGAATTCTACAACAGGAGCGCGCTCTGAAATACGGTCTCATGGACCAGAAATTGCCGTATTACAAGTACTTTCCAGTAGCCATGCTCGAAAATGACTGCGTCAGGCTCTACTGGGACCGAGCCATCATCACAGACAGGACTATTCTTACGAATAAGCCTGATAATGTGCTGATGGACCGGGCACAGTCAAAGATATTTTTGGTCGGTATTACCATCCAGAGAATCTCGTGAAAGCCGAAACAGATAAGCAATCAAAATATCTGAATCTGGCTCACGAGGTGACCGACATGTGGGGTGGTCTGCCGACCGAAATTATTCCTGTAGTCATTTCTGCAAACGGGTTAATCCCAGCCAGACTCTCGGGTTATCTGAGATGGCTGGGACTCCGTGATGGACTGCTCAGGGCTCAAATGCAGAAAGCGGTGCTTTATGGTTTCTTTCCCTTTCCACCTAACCCGAGGGTTTGGTCACTCCTGCCGAGGACTTCCATCTGGTTGGGCTTTCATTTATTTATGTTTTATTTATTTATTTATGTTAGTACATTAAATATATATTTATGTATATTTATCGTTTCTTTTTATATATTTATTCGGCCCAACCAGATGTCTCTATCCATAACTCCCGTAATAATAATAATTTAGTTATTTTCTTTGAATGATATTATAATCATTTTAAACCAGCACACAACAGCCCACGTTTATTGAGACAACTTAGCGATCCCAGCGCCTCACTTATTTTGTCCCTATTTCTGTGAATGATTTTTTCCTATTTTCTATAGCGATTGTTCTCCTGTTCTCGAACCTCCATGCATATAACCATGATTATTAATAACCATGATTCCGAAACAAAGCGACAATCGACTGTATGGCGCTTCGATGTTTTTAAAGAAAAGGGGAAAACGTGAATGTGGCTCACCTGATGGTAAGTTTCGACCGCCTCCCATGAAAAACTGCAACACCAAAGAAAATGCAGTTGCGTTGACAGCCTTTTGAAAAGGAGTAAGTTCGTTTTTAGAAGATCGCTAAGTCGTATGTGTGTAAAAAAGTTATCGATTTATTTCTGTCCTTTTTCGTTGCCTTTGGTGCTCATGCGGTTGTACTTTCGCTAATGTCAAGTAATGATTCCCACTCTGCACTTAGAAGTCGCCGCGAAAATGCACAGCGAAAATGGCAATTACTTCACATTCGCATAAAGTTCGCACATTGGTTGGCATGTTAAACCCCTTAGTCCCTAGCTAAAATCATTGACACCGCTAGCTCGCTTCGCGTGACGCGGCGTTGCTAAAAATAACCTAACCTTGAATTTGTTGTACATTTATTTTCTATAAAATTCATTATAAATTTCAATATAATACTTGTTTCTTAGATATATTGTATTAACACAAAAACTTTTATAACAATTTTATAGTAAAATACTATACTAAACACTAATGAAACATTAGAAAAATCTAAAAACCAACACAATAACACGCCACACGAAATAGGCGTTCGAAATGAACGAAGATTATATATAAAAAACCATAGACTAACTACGTTTTATTGCATTAGAGGATAAGGAATTTCACATTGAGCCTATAATGTCAAACTTCTTCATAGAAAAGTAGTCTGTAAATATACGTTTTTATTTTTATTTATTTATTTGTCACACCAACAAGATATACACTAAAAACTTTCTAAGAGTAGACAATAAATAATTTAATGCTGAGTGATACCTCTTTTATAGGTGTAAACTACGTGAATATTGAGCGTCATACTTACATTGCTTTTTGCTTTATAAATAGTTATCTTAAAGGGAACATTACAATAAAAACAGTACAAATCAGATTTACAAGTACACAGTTCTTAAACATTACGTTTTGCTTACGAAAATAGAAAACAATACCAAAATTTCAATGTCAAAGAATTGAAATGTTATTATATAAGGAAAAATAATGTTTATGAATAAATAAAAGAATGAAAACAATGTCAGTTTAATGTCACTGATAATTTCAATTTGAGTTACTAATTAAAAAATTAAAATACAATTATTAAAATACAATTATAAAGATAAAAAATATTTTATACGGTAATAAAAAAAGAAACATTAAAAAGTAACATGACAAATATTACCTCCGTCCCCCTCGTGCTCTGATCCAGAATCCCGAGACTTTTCAGCTCGAGTTACGTAACCGCTATCAGTGCCTAGAAGATTGCAATGCAGTGGACGATATGAATGACAAGCTCGTGGAAACTATCCATGCGGTCGGAGCTAAGTTCTGCAAGACCCGCCGCGGAAGAACACAAAAAGTCTCCGGTCACACTCTTAATCTCATGGCTGTTAGACGGGAGATGAGGCTGCAATCGTCAACAGATTTGACAGCATACAGGCAACTGAACAGACAGATCTCCAAATGTGTGCGGCGAGACTTACGCAACTTTAATACTGCTCATATTAAAGAAGCGATCGAGCGGAACCAGGGCTCCAAAGTCTTTGCCAGAGATCTGTCTGCCAGAAAGAGCCAACTGTCAAGGCTGAAGACTGAGTGTGGCAGCATCGTTTCCGGGACACCTGAGATTCTGAGTGAGATTGAGAGGTTCTATGGGCAGATGTAGACATCATCGTTGGAGCCACATGCAAGTGTGAGTAACGATCCAAGAGCAAGTCTTACCCAACACTATTCCCATGATATCCCGGAAGTCAGTCTGAGCGAGATTAGAATGGCTCTCCAGCACCTTAAAAACGGCAGGGCCCCAGGCGAGGATGGAATTACAGCGGAGCTTCTGAAAGCGGGTGGAACACCGGTACTTGAAGTCCTTCAGAAGCTCTTCAATTCCGTCCTCCATGGTGGCACTACTCCGGAGGTGTGGTGCAGAAGTGCGGTGGTCTTGTTCTTTAAAAAAGGCGACAACGCTCTCTTGAAGAACTACAGACCGATTTCCCTTCTGAGCCGCGTCTACGTGCTGTTTTCGAGAGTCATTACGAATCGTCTCGCACGCAGACTCGACGACTTCCAGCCTCCCGAACAAGCCGGTTTCCAAAAAGGCTTCAGTACCATAGACCACATACATATCCTGCGGCAGATTGTACAGAAGACCTAAGAGTACAATCTGCCACTTTGCCTGGCGTATGTGGATTATGAGAAAGCCTTTGATTCCGTCGAAATTTGGGCGGTGCTACAGTCTCTTCAGCGGTGCCAAGTTGACTATCGGTATATCGAAGTGCTGAAGTGTTTGTACAGTAGGGCTACGATGGCTATCCGAGTACAGAACCAGAGTTCGAAACCTATCCAACTGCAGAGAGGTGTAAGACAGGGTGACGTTATATTCCCGAAACTCTTCACCGCTGCGTTGGAAGACGTTTTCAAGCTACTGGACTGGAAAGGATACGGTATTAACATCAATGGCGAGTACTTCACTCACTTTCGATTTGCCGACGATATAGTCCCTATGGCAGAATCGCTGCAAGACCTTAGCACTATGCTCAATGACCTCAATGGTGTCTCCCAACGGATATGTCTTAAGATGAACATGGACAAAACAAAGATCATGTTTAATGTTCATGTCACACCTATGCCGGTAGTTGTTGGGTGCACTATGCTCGAAGTTGTACTTATTCATTGTGTTTCAAATTAAATTAATTTATATAAAATAATATTTCATAGTGCTCCCACACTGTGCTCGAAGTTGTTGACGAGTACGTTTACCTGGGACAAATAGTTCGACTAGGTAAGTCCAACTTCGACCGAGAGGTCAATCG